AAATAAGGTAAATATTACAAAGGCAAATAAATAAAGAAGCTAATTAAAATAGTTACATACATTTATTTCTCACTGTATAATTTCATTTCTACCTACATTTATTTGTTGATTGTAATTTTGGTGGCAATTAATTGTATGCTTATATATTTATTGAACATTAATTTATTTCTGTATTCATTTTTAAATATGGCAGAGTTGGTCCTCCATAGTTGAACCTGTGGTAAAAAAAACTCTTAATAGGTCTAAAATAAACAAAGTAAATTTAGCTTATTTGGCAAATGCAGATTTATTCTAACATGAATTTCTGGTTTTTGGTGATTTCTTTACAGGTTCAGTTCCTGTCAGGTCCCCTTTAAAAAGAAACCCTTTCAGTTCCCATGTGTTTCAGGAATAATTTAAACAAACTGTTACTATCAAGCACAGCATTTTAAAGAAGTCCAAATATGTTGTGGATGTGCACAATTCTTCTGAAATTATCTTTAAATTTAGGTTTATTTATTTATTTATTTTTTTGCAAGGGTACAGCTGAGACTTTGGCCTGTGGGTGTGCATGTTCATGTGGATATACCGTTAGCAACATTAGCAGTTAGCCATGCCTGGTTTCCCATTGTTTCTCATTTCTGGATAGACGAGTCCGAGTAGCTCCATCTCACTACGGCGCTGAGTCCCACCTGGTTTTTAGACGTACAGTGTGAGCAGGTAGATCGCATCAGAGCGTCGGGTCGCACAGTGTGAGAACAAACATTGTGAGCTGTGAACTCACACTGTACGATGAAATCCTGCGGTTTTGTCATACAGTGTGAGCTGCAGCTGCGTGCAACGATTGAAAAATCACACAGTGTATGCCCGGCTTTACCGACTGCCTGCAGGTGAGTCCCTGACTGGTGGAATAGAGGCGACAGAGGTGATAGAAAGCCTGGCTAACGTTAGCATCCTGCCAGAACTGACATCAATACAGGAGGAAGACCATAGATAGCGCTCTGTGGAGGGTGTCCTGTTCTGGGCTTAGGCTTAGATATTAGTTCAGGGTTTCTACAGGATGGTAAAATGTTTTACCACCTTTTAGAATGAACCCAAATTAAGGCCTTTGAATTGTAATTAAAGGTAACAAACAGAACTGAACTTGGTGGTAAATGTTTTTGTCACCTCTCCATATATTCTGTCTCTTCCATTGATGATGAGCTTTTATGTTTCAAGTTCAGTTCTGTATAAAATCTGAAATAAAGTTATAGCTATAGGCAACAGGAAGTGAGCTGATGTTAATAGACTCAATTGGTCCTGCTGGCTGCTATGCAATGCTGTGCTGGAACTGCCTATACTGTTATTGTGAGCCCCACCAAGGTTGAACTGAAATGATTTTAGGAAACCAATTACCTTAAAACTGTTTGCTTATTAACTCAGCTTATTTAGTCTAATAGAGAATTTCAAGTAATTACAATAAATATTTTGTTACACTAACATGGGTTTCAAAAATGTACTGTTTAATTCCTTAAACTGAACTAAAGACCAGTAAGATTCCTTCATTTAAATGTATTTTTTATTGTTATATCAGTTGGACTTCAGTTCTCAGCCTTTTGGACATAAGGAGAAGTTTAACTCTTTGGTTTTCTGTTTTCAATCCAGCTTTAGTATGGAAATTATTTTATTGTACTATCCTGCGTCTGTTAACTATTACCATTAATCAACATACTGGGTAGTAGTGATGTGTCCAGCTCATAGAGTATACCATGTGTCTGTGCACGCATTGCTTCAAGTCACATGACTGATGCGGGAGCTGGTTCAAACTGACTGACGCTGTGTTTATTAGCACATCTGTCAATGGGATGCATCTGCCAAAAATAATCTCTGATCTTCAATTAATCAAGAAATATGGAGCAGCTTTAAGGCAATAAGAAAGGATTCAGATCATTTTGATTTAATATTTGTTTTAAATTTCTTTTTTGTTTTGTCGTCCTGCTCCTCTTAATTATGCGGCAAAGTCTCTGAATTTAAATTGATTTGAAATTGACTCTTAGTTTACTGTAGCGCTGAAAGAATCAGATTAATCAATTATTGAAATAATCATCAACTCATTTACTAATCGATTCATTGTTAACTGGAGTATAGAGACTGTAAAACCTGCCTTTAGCTGACAGAGGGACAGGAATTATACCAAGATTGTAAGAAAATATATAAGCATTTGGCATTTAATGTTTTTCATCTGTTTGGCTATCCCATTAGAGCGCTGTCAGATCACATCATATCATCTGGTTCATTTTCTATATGCATCATTAAACACACATCTTCGCCTCCTTCCTGCAGACGGTCGCCATTCCTGGTCCAGAGCTGAAGCCGTGGGAAGAGTTTGATCCCCTCAGCTATGAAGTTCCCAAACCAGCAGCCGTACAGTGGAATAAGTAGGTCAGCAGGGGGCGCCAGTCTCTGAGTTAAACATTTAGGAGGACGTGTTGATCAGTAAGTGGAAGATGAAGTAAACAAGGCTTCATGCTTTCTGCTGTATTTTGAGATATCTGAAGAAAGATGAGCTTCGGTTCAATAACCAGCAACATTCTGAAGCTTCTGTATCATCAAATGACCTTCTATGAATATGTCTTCTGTTCACACGTTTAAATTTTTCCTGTGGGAGTAATTTTCCATGTACATGTAAGAAATGAAAATGCACAGAAGTGTAGAGTTGAGTGGTTTATTTCTGCATTGAATATACAAGATGCCAACATGTGCAAAGCAAAATAAACAGGTATTGCTGATAACAATTGTCCCAGCTGCTTTTCTTCACAAAGCTACACATGAGCTCACTTCATGGACGTGATGCAATAATATATTCAATTAAAGGCTTTGTTCACACAGCAGGTCTTGATGCTCGGTTCTGATTTTGTTGCGCATGGTCTTTTGCTTTCTATGGATACCTGCTGGAGCCACTTTTCACAGGGATGTTGTAATCTATGGGGAACAAACTTTGGCCCAATCCCTACAGTAAACCTTCTATGGAGTGTGTACGTGGTTGAAGGGCAAATAAGGTTCTGGTACGCTGGTTATAAACATGGAAAAGTTCTGAGACAGAACTGGTTCCATCATCAATCTTCGCCTCTGCGACGTAACTGTGGCGTCAAAATTAGTGAGACCTGTCTCTGTTTTTGCAATCTGCTGAAAGAAAACTTTTAAAATTATTTAAATGTACATCATAGTAAAATAATATTTTAGCAAATTTAAAGGAGCTTTTGTTGTTGTTTTTTTTATCTATAACTAGGCTAAACAAAAAAACTCAAATGAGAAATTTAAGTGTACAGGATATCTTTTTGAGTGTGGAGGGGATACACACACATCAGAATATACAAGAATAGGGGGATAAGTGTAGCTCAGCATGGAAGGCCAGGGAAAATAAAATGATAAAAAGGTATTTTATAATAGTATTTAACTATTTCCTCACAGTTTTGCATTTGTTCTGTTTTTAAAGAGGACTTCAGTTTTAAGGTCTGCCTTCTTCTCATTTGCATGAATATGATGTTTGCTCAAACCAACAGTCTAAAATGTATAGATCTGGACTGTCTTTGCATTGTAGTATATGTGCAAACTCAAGATGTGAACATTATTTTTCATTGATAAACATTTCTATTAGAGAGACCAGACGATTTTGAAAAATAGATTTTAGGAAAGAATAGGTGCTGTAGTTTTACAAAATTCAAATGCATCTTCTTCAGATTGGATTCTCCTCTTAAGAAATTTAGCAACAGGGTGTATTTATTACTTTAAGTTGAGTTTCTTTAACCTCATTATCACAGGTGTTAAACAAAAGGTCAGTGCACACAATTGTAGTGTAACAAAAAAAAGGGAAGGCAATAGCGCCCCCTTCATTCCAAAGTGCAATGGTGCCATTTTCTAATATGGTATGGCTCTCATGTGGTCTTCACTGGTCCTCTTCTGTTTGCTGCAAAACAGGCTTCTGTCAAAACGTATGCCCTAACCCCTAAAACCCTCAATCACTATATAAAACGGGGGCTATATAGTGAATTTTATAGTGAAATCAATTAACTGACCATTCGGACTGATGATCACTTTTTTTTCTCCCTCTTGGTGACGTAACTCCGCCTCACCGCATGGGGCCGCGCCATTTTTGTTATCTGTCGACATTGTCGGGTAACAACAGCCGTAGGCAACAGCGGGAAATCCCATTATGCTTTGCTAGGAGTGCACTCCGGAATATTTCTGCTCGTCTCGTGACCATGTATGATCACTACTTTTCAAGGTGCATTTTGGAAAATATTGAGTCCACTAATTTCAATCCACTAGATCAGGGGTAACCAATTAAAAATCAGTGGGCTCCGAATAAAGAAAATCAACAACCAGTAAAGGTACAGAGATATTTTATATTCTTTATATAATCTGTTACTTGTTTAAACAGAATTTAACACTGAAATAAAATGATTTTTTTTAATGCATCCATGTTATACATTTACTTAAAAAAAAAGAAAGAAAAAAAATTCCATTTTAAAATCTAAAGTGTTTTTTGAAGTAGAGAATAACAATCTTTCAGTTTTGTATGTAGACATTTTCCTCATTCACATATTTTATAAAACAGCAGTGGGCATTATGCTGCCCTGCAAGGTTTTAAATCTGGGTCTGATTGGGGACAAAGCCATTCTAAAGCACATATCAAGGTGCAAATTTTGAGCCTGGATCGATATGTATTTTTGATCATGTTCATTGTGGAGAATCCTTCTTCACAGCAGCAGGTTGAGCCAAACATCCTCTAAATGTGCAGGTTCATCTTTGAGCACGCCATTTCACTTTTCTTTCACCAGTTTACCGCAGTTCTTCCACCAGTCCACACTTTCTTTTACTTTTTCTCATCGTCGTTACCCATCACCCGGCTTGCCACAAGTTTGCCTGTGTGTGTCTGCCTGTGTCTAAAAGTAGGTAGCGGCAACAGCCCTGAGTGACACAGCTCACTCGCTTTACCGTACAAACAGGAGAAGCGGCGCAAGTGAAATTAGACATTGCCGTCGGACAACATGAGGTAATTTATAAATGTTTTAAATCAGGTTGGATCCGGATCCGCTAATCCATGACCTTTGCACTAGACGTTCGAACACTCATCTAAAATGGCGAAACCACTATATAGTGCCTTATGTCAGAATTTGGGTGGACATTCGGACACAGCCTAAGATTATATTTTTAAAATTAAAATGATACCACAGGGACAATCATTCTGCTGTGAAAGAATTTTTTTAAGGGTCAATTTTATTGGCAAAAAGATCAATCAGATTTTGGTCACATTTCCCTGCTGTGTTAACGTAGCCAAAATGCTTTTCTGTTTGACAGTAAACACTGAATAATGCTATTTATTGAGATATAGAACAAACATTTCATCATCATTTCTCTTGTTGTTTTTTGGGATATCTCTACTGATCAAAACACAAACAATACTCCAAAAAATGAAAATAAAAAATACAATCGAATGACGTCTGTCTGATTAAAAAACAAAAGTTACAATAGATTAATGCTTCAATCATTTTCCTTATAAATTTGCGTTAATGTAAGTATTAATTTTATTGAAAAACATATAGTAGCCTATATAAATAATTGTTTTTATCAATTTTGACAGATCCAGAATAGATAAATATTTATTTCTGGTTACTTCAGAAAGACCTGCTAATGCTATTTCTAATGCTAATGCTAATCACGCCAGATCTAACAAGCCAAACCAACTTTGCTTGCATTAGATGAAAATGCCACAGCAGTGGTAAGAGGGATTCGGACGGACGAAAGAGCCAAACAATAAAGCACACTTGCTACCCCCGGCTCCCTTCCATGTTGCTCTTCCCTGATTTCTGTCGCACTGGTTATCAACGCTAACCCAGGGTGATGGTGTCACCAGACACGCAGTGATGGCGGGTCAGACCAAGCATGTTTTTGGCAATGGGAAGGGAGCCAAATGCTGATTGTAATCTGGTTGGCCAGTGTTTGTAAAACCAGTGTTTTAAAAACACGCGTTAACCCGCTAATTTCAGTTGGAAAGAGGCTTAATACAAGCACACAAAAGACCTTTCATTTAAAACATTCAGACACCAAATAAAATGTTCATATAAGAGCAGAGTAAAAGCAGGAAAACAGATGAGTTCTTTTTAACGCCATCCAGTGTGTGTGTCTAGCAGCTGGACATGAGGTCTAATTGATACTGCTAAAATGCATCATATGTATGTAATCAGTCTCACAATTCAAACCAACCTACAGTTGCTGCTGTTAGAAAGTCTAGGTTTAGGGTATCTATGTTTAAATCACAAGTCACTTGGGAAAACAAAAGCCTCAGCAGCACACTCGGCATCATCTTCCTCATCTTCTTCTGGAATGTTCTCAGGTTCCCACGTGAAGACATCCATAGTATTTTCTGTAAATGAGCCTGATGTGCCTCCGATGATCTCCCACGGACACAATGCATCCCGCCGACCCAAAGCCAAGTTGTCTTTAGACTCATCTGTATGTCCTGTGGAAATATCTTCTGGAGCCTCTTCTGCGAGAGTCCTGGGATTGTATGAGTCATCAGGGTCACTGTTGGAAGAAAAAAACTTGTCTGCAACATTTGCCTCTGCATCTCCATCATCTCTCTGTTCTTTATCGTCAGACTGACAAACATCTTTATTGTTAGATTCATCCATATCCGATGGACATAGATCGCTCAGTGTGCCATCCTGCTCTTTTGGAAAATTTGGGTCTTCTGTTTCCCACGGACAAACGTTTTCTCTAATGCTGTCTTGCTTTTTTACAACATTGGATTCTACGTTCTCCCATGGACAAACATTTTCTCTAATGCTGTCTTGCTTTTTTACAACATTGGGTTCTACGTTCTCCCATGGACAAACATTTTCTCTAATGCTGTCTTGCTTTTTTACAACATTGGGTTCTGCATTCTCCCATGGACA